GTTCCTATACAAGGTCACCAAAGTACAACAATGTTACAAGAAAATCAAAATTTTCCAATAGCCAGAAAAAAAAAAATCAGTGTACCCTATGCCTACATGAGATTTATTATCCGAATTTTATGAAAAAAAAAATAAAAATAAAATTTAAATTCATTAAATAAAAAAGTCAAAAAAATTAACATATGTTACGATACGATCACCGTCACGAGAAACCAAAGATTAGTCGAATGTTTTAGGCCTTTTCTAGACAACACAGCAAAATTTTCCTCTTTTGTCTTCTTTTGTCATCAATTTTTCTTGTCCCCTGCCTCCCATTTATCTTCCACAGAAGGAAAAATAAATTCCATGCTATTGCTGCTGCTACTACCTGAATTAAACATTACATCAGCCAAATCCGCCACCGCCGGATAGTCAACCTCCCGACCATATCGGGCGGATGCGGTGGAGCCACCTGCACCGCCACTACCACTTCCACATGAAGCAGAAGCAAGGCTATTGAATTCCATTGACAGCCATCTTCCTAGAGGAACCGAGGAGGAAGAGGCTGGTGTAGGCTGACTAACCATGGCTTGGGTCATTATCTGGTCCTGTGTTCCTGTCTCTAGCGGGGGTGGTGGCGGGATTGACGGTGCCGTGGAGGACATGTGGCACGTATGTTGACTGATGTATGTTACTTCAAATGTGTAGAAATCGTTGTCCAGCCTCTGCACTTGCTTCTTTGCCGGGCAGTTGTACAGCTTTTGGTGTGTGCACCGGTAGTATGCCCTAATCCAAGTCAACATACATGATTATCATCATCATTCAACGTACATGAATTCAAGTTAATCAGATAATGAGAACCCTAATTCTTATTCAATAAGTAAGAGTTCGATTTTCCTTTACTCTAATTATAAAACAAACAAGTAAGTTATATAAGTTTACGTAAAATGTTTGAATTTTGATTAAACCGACCTTCGAAAATTTAAACCTAAGGTTATAATCTTTTTATATCAACAATCAAATGAGGCATTAATTAACTTTTCATGACTATAGCATGTCCTGATCTAAATCAACCCACATGGTTATCATTTTTCTTTGGGGTCAACAGACATGATTATCACCATTCCTTGGTAAAGAGCTGCAAGACTAAAGATTAAAGTTGATAACCCTAATATCAAATATCAAAACCAATTTGATTAATAAGAAACAAACCATACACATTTGAATTTTGATTAAAACGAACTTTAAAAACTTTAAAACTAGGGTTAATAGTATTATCTATAAATCAAGCTTTATATCATTAGACCTGTGTGATTTTTTATTTAATAAATAGGGTTTCAATTTCTTTTCCTTCCAAAAACAAAAAAGAAAAAAAATGAACAATTTATATATATTCACATAAAACATTTAAATTTTGATTAAGACGATCTTCAAAAACTTAAATCTACGATTGAGGTTATTAGTTTTTTCATGTTAGAAGAATCATTTTCAAGTTTGAGGAAGTTTAGGGGCAAATCCATGCCTAAAGTTTTATATAATTAATGATATTAATAAACTTATTGAGTTTTTTAATTATTATTATTGTTTTAATTATGATACTTTTAAAAGAATTTTCAATCTGTCTTTTAAGGGAGTTGGGCATTTACGGACCAAAAGCGACTTTATGTATGGCATGCATATAGAAGTTCTTACCAATTAATTAAGCAGTCAGAGGATATAGACTGAGTCAAATTCTAAGCGACTTTATATACTTGATCAAACTTTTGTAAAAGAATGGAGCTGTTAGCAGGTTGAAACGAAGACCTTGAATGTCTACGTGACTGATGCAATTAGTAAACGATTATATGCTTGTTGAATGTGTCAAAAGAGATTATAATTTAATTAATTACCTAGGGTATCTTGAACCCAGAATTTCCTTCTGCCCGTATTTTCTCCAGGTGAAGTTATCCTCTGGTGGAAGATCAGTGTTTCCCATCTGTGGAGCTGGTACTGTCATTGTGCGTTTCTCTTCATCATCCTTCCTGCTGCAAGTAATCAAGAGATAAAAAAAAATTGAGGAAAACCAGTGGTTAAAGTACTGATCCTGATAACCCCAAGAAAGTGCTTGGATATGTATGTATGTATGTATGTATGTAATTTCTGGTGAATTGGAATGTACCTTACATGCAAGGCAATGGCGCCTTCCATTTGGCATTACATTGACAAAACCAGGGAATGAATATGGAAATAAGTCGGGCAAGGTTCTAACCTTCTTCGGGGTCGCTGCGATGAGGATGAAGAGCCTCTACCAGAATCTGATAATTCCATTGCCTGGATCTCTCCTACTACGCTGCCCTTCAATCGAGCAGAAGCAGAACCCTCCAACAAGTTCTTTCCACCCATTTCGTTGGTTTCAAACGGAGCTTTTCCGGCCAAAACTTTCTGCTGAATCATGTCCATTGCTTGTGTAATAACACCGTACTTTAGCCATTCCTGCAAGCTGGGATCGGTGCTCTGCTGCGGCTGCTGTGATGAACTTGGGGATTCGCGGAGTAACTGCGTAAACGAAGCAGGGTCTTGATCAGCATTCAACCGTCCTTTCGCAGCAGCAAAAACCTTCACGATATCATCACAGGACTTGGAAAGGATCTCCGGTTGGCTTGCCAGATTTCCCAGGTTTGATTCAAGGTCTTTAGCTAACTTACAACCATGAAGGATCAAGGAGAAGGTCTCTTCCATGGTTTGATCAGGGCGTTTTCTCTTTGCTTTGTCTGTTTCGGATTTGAACATGACCGAAGCAAATCTAAAAGGGTTTTAAATGCTGGCTCTTTTGGTGTGCTTCTAAGCTGCTGCTTCGTATTATGGAGAGAGAAAAGATTTTCAAAGTATTCACGTTCTTTCTACACGGTACCAAAAGGAGAAGAAAGTTGGAAAAACGACCAAGTCTGGGTCTCCTCTGCACTTCAACTTTCCAAGGCCCCTCCTTGAGTCTTCCTCTAGACCTCGCCTCATTGAAACAGCCATTGTGACCCTGCAGAATTTTCCGCCGTTTGAAGCTATGACTGTTGATTGGAAAGACAATTTCTTTCTTCTGGATTCACCCATCGGAGGGCTGAGGAACCAACATCTCAGCACATTGGGTTTTACCAATTTTTGGTCATTTGGGGTTGAAGCCCTTTACCCCTACGTCATGGGTCATGACCCAAAATCTGGTTCACACCTTCCCAGAAATCACACATGGCACATATGGATTTGAGGTCAATGTTCCCTGGGTCCCATTATTACACAACACAGGTAAGTTTGTCAAATATTTGATAGTTTGACAGCCCCAAGGTTCATGTGGTTCCAATTTCACTGGAGATTTTGTATTGTTTTCTTGTTTCATCTTACATTTTTTTTCTTTTATATCCTTTATGGGTTTATTTAGTAAAGTACAAAGAGATGAAAGATTCGAACTTTCAATTTAATACTCTTGAGAAACGTAACAATTATTAGATAAAGTCGAGTTTGTTCCTTTTTTTTTCTTTTATGTATCTCCTAGTTTAGTTAATTTGGAAATTTAAATATATATATATATATATATATTTCCTTATTAAGATGATTGTTGGTATATGTGATATTTCCTAACTAAGATGCATGTTCAGGTAATATGACAAGTGATTTTGTATTAAAAACATGAATGTACCCTTCTCTGCAAATAACAAAGGTATTTCTACCCTACCCTGCTCTGCATTTTAGCTTGAAATCATTGAGTCATAACTTTCTTTATGGGAATGAAAGAATATATTAAAAAAAAAAAAAGGAAAAATATAAGAGGAGGATCTTGGAGTCATAATTATCAGAGTAGGACACAGAGCATTAAACGTCTTCTCTAGAAAGGGAATGATGGGTACTCATGTTCAAGGCTTTCTTCCACAAATACTAATAGTGCATCAAGACATGAATTAGAGTTGGAAATGGTCATCAGAGATTTCCGTTTTCCAGGCTCTAAATGAATAACAATTGCTTAAAGTTTGACTGTCAAGTCTCAAGGGCAAGAACTTTCCTGGTATGTCAGGTTAACTAGATGGCAATGAGTGTCTTAGCTCTGTGTGTCCGTGGTTCAATTGCATCTTCTGAAAAAGGGTTCAATATCCTTCTGAAGACGGCCTTGAATGGTAACATAGCGTTCTTGGATGGTAATACTGGGAAGTGATGTGCAGCTGTTGGCCCTTAGACCCATGGAAAATAACCAGACAGTTGCTTCAGTGCCGGTTGAATAGGGGATTGAGTTGAAAATTCAAACAGAGTTCCAGCACCAAATGGACCAGGCGCTTAGAATTGGATCCATCCCACATTATCCCACAAAGGCCCAGAAGAAGCAAAACATTAAGCCTTAAAGAGCAAGAACTTCTTTCAATTATGACTATATGTTCAACTAAAACTCTAATTTTTTATCGTATTTAAATAAATTCTTATTGTTTAGATTCATATCTAAACAAATCCTTAATTACAACAAAAAACTTAATCATCTGACGTAATACGATGACATGGGCACATTTGGCCACATCAGTTGCTTAGGCAAGGCCACAACTCACCTCCTCCAGGTCCAGGAAGAAGCAAAAACAGTAAAAATTGCATATCGCAATCCACTGCATTTCTTCTGTGTTGGTACCATCTTGTCAAAGGTAACTTTGCTTAATGTTAGGTTAGCCCATCAAGCCATCACAATCCACAACTACCATGCAAATTGCAAATGGAGAGAGGTTATTGATAAGAACGAGTCAAAAACAGCTAAATCATACATGCCTGTTCCACTAAATAATTGCTTCTAGCCACTAGAGCCATACACTTAATCAAGGCCAGAAGAAATTTCAAGCATACTTAACTTGGTTTAAAGGTGATCCTACCTCTCAAAGCATCACCCAACTTTTGTTTTTTTGATCGTCATCTGTTTAAATTTTGTGTGCTTTTTTCCAATCACCCACCTCTCCACCTACCCCATCTCACTTCCACCGCTCTTCTCCACCAACCCCCCCCTGGGACTTGCCTATGCACCTAACTCTTTATCTCTTCTATATAACTCTACCACTCAATGACTCTCTTTCTTAGCCTGCAACCCAAAACCAACACCCAAGATGGACCTCCTCCTCCTAGAGAAAGCTCTTATTTCCCTATTCTTCACTGTAATCTTAGCCATTTTGATCTCCAAGCTTCGCAGCAAGCGCTTCAAACTCCCTCCTGGCCCCATTCCAGTGCCTGTTTTCGGCAACTGGCTCCAGGTTGGTGATGACTTGAACCACCGCAACCTCAGCGACTTAGCCAAGAAGTTTGGTGACATTTTCATGCTCCGCATGGGGCAGCGTAACCTTGTGGTTGTCTCTTCCCCGGAGCTGGCCAAAGAGGTTTTGCACACTCAGGGAGTTGAGTTTGGGTCCAGAACAAGGAATGTTGTGTTTGATATCTTCACAGGCAAAGGGCAGGACATGGTTTTCACCGTGTACGGGGAGCATTGGCGCAAAATGAGGAGGATCATGACCGTTCCTTTCTTCACCAACAAGGTGGTGCAGCAGTATAGACATGGATGGGAAGACGAGGTTGCCAGGGTCGTTGAAGATGTGAGGAAGATTCCAGAGGCGGCGACGAATGGAATTGTTCTGAGGAGGAGGCTGCAGCTTATGATGTACAACAACATGTACAGGATCATGTTCGATAGGAGGTTTGAGAGTGAGGATGATCCTTTGTTTGTGAAACTCAAGGCTTTGAATGGAGAGAGGAGTAGATTGGCTCAGAGCTTTGAGTACAACTATGGCGATTTCATCCCCATCTTGAGGCCATTCTTAAGGGGGTATTTGAAGTTATGCAAGGAAGTGAAGGAAATGAGATTGCAGCTGTTCAAAGACTATTTCCTTGAGGAGAGGAAGTAAGTTTTCCTGTCAATTAATTTCCTGGTAGTTTTAGCTGATCAATTACACTAATAAACTGCTAGGGAATCTATAAATCTGGTGCTTAAAGACATGGGAATTTTCCAATGAAAATCTTGCAGGAATCTTGCAAGCACAACAAGAAGTGACAACAACGCTCTGAAGTGTGCCATAGATCACATTCTTGATGCTCAGCAGAAGGGAGAGATCAACGAAGACAATGTCCTTTACATTGTTGAGAATATCAATGTTGCTGGTAAGTCCCTAGGTTTCTTCTTGGACTATATACTTTTTGCTGGCTTATAAGGTTTGAAAATTGGGTCAGTCCAACTCTTACCAAACCTCAGGACCTGTTTGTCATCAGCTGAAGTCATTAGTAATGGTCAAAATTATGTACCTCGTCGCAAGTTTCCAACCCACTAAGACTTCTGGGTACAAAACTGAAGCAACTAACGGTTCTAATACATAGAATTCTAATACATAGACTTTTAAACAGAATAACGAATTAGTTTTAACCCTATAATGGATTACTATTAGCAATGTTTTACTTTTGAAAATCAATGATTGAGATGCCCAAAATTGACTAAGGATGTATGTACATGTGATGTGTCTCAACATTCAGCCTCGTGCATGAACATGGTTACTCTGACATGTCTGATGTTTATTAGCTATAGTTAGATGCTTACCATAGGACTTACTTCAATGGGTTTGTAATTGTTTTTAGACCAAATTGAGGTCAAATAAGAACATCTGCCTTTCAAGCATGTGTACATCATGCATATATTTTCATTATGAATTGAATTTCCCGAGGCAAATGGCTCAATAGAGTAAATGTGGTCATGTGACAGACTGTTAGCAGTCTGGTGGTAGTTGGGAGCTGGAAGCTGGGACCAGCCACCAACCAACCAAATTAGGCTCCCACCATATAATCATCATGACCATACTGTAGTTTCCGACAGGATACGTATCTGCTGGCTGTTACCATCATACCAACTCAGCATTTATCGGTTGAATTTTTAGTTTTGTAATGATACCAATCTATTCATTGAAGCGGTTTCTTTGTGATGATACACAGCCATTGAAACAACACTATGGTCAATTGAATGGGGCATTGCTGAGCTTGTGAACCATCCTGAGATCCAGCAGAAGCTTCGTAATGAAATCGACTCTGTGCTCGGACGTGGCGTGCCGGTTACCGAACCTGACACCCACAAACTTCCATATCTCCAGGCAGTGATCAAGGAGACACTGCGGCTGCGGATGGCCATCCCTCTACTAGTCCCACACATGAACCTCCATGATGCCAAGCTTGGTGGGTATGACATCCCAGCAGAGAGCAAGATCCTTGTGAATGCATGGTGGTTAGCCAACAACCCAGCCCAATGGAAGAACCCAGAAGAGTTCAGGCCCGAAAGGTTCTTCGAGGAGGAAGCCAAGGTCGAAGCCAATGGGAATGACTTCAGGTATCTTCCATTTGGTGTTGGAAGGAGGAGCTGTCCAGGAATCATCCTTGCGCTGCCAATCTTGGGGATCACGTTGGGACGCTTGGTGCAGAACTTTGAGCTGTTGCCTCCTCCAGGACAGGCTAAGCTTGACACTTCGGAGAAGGGAGGACAGTTCAGCTTGCACATCCTGAAGCATTCAACCATTGTTGCAAAGCCAAGGGTGTTTTGATTTGAATCATGCAAGTTTCTTAAAGCACTGGATTTGGACTTTTGCATTATGCTTTTGAGTATTGGGGTGTTGTAAGATGCATGCGTTTTGTTCAACATTGTGAAAATTTTCAATCTCTATTAGTTGTTTTAAAGCTTTTCTTTCTCTTGTTTTTCATCTATGGATGATACATCAATTATGAACATCGCATAAACTCATCAAAATTTTTAATTAATTAGATAATCTCGAAAGAATAAAAATAATCATAAATACTTTATAATCAAATATCTTAAATCACTCAATTCAATTAAATAGAATAAGAACATTTTATAATCAGGTTTGACCCATCACGAGTTTTAGTAATCATCATAGGATACCCAAATTTCAAAATTGATCATAATAATTATATATATATATTTTATATAGTACTTATGAATAATGTAATTCATATTAAAATTTATTAATTATTCTATATATGATTTTAAATTTTAATTTATATTAATAATATATAAAATTATTAATTGTAAATTTTATTTTTATTTCAAGTTTGGGTATGGATCAAATTTTATAATATATACTCCTATTATTTATTATTTAATATGTCATATTAGATTTTTTTTGTGAATATTAATAATTGGTTTTGGATATTAAATATTAATTATTAATTATAGTCGGATAAAATATGAATAGTTAAATTTCAATTAAATTCGAGTTCGGTACCTTAAAAATGAAAAAAAAAAAAGAAAAGAAAAAGAGAGATGGATATTAATTGAATTAAGCTGGGCCAAAACTCAGCCCACATGAATCTAGATTCAACCCCAATATGTGGTCACCGAAATGAGGGACTACCAGAGCTTCGTGAAACCGCGAAGCACAGAATTAAAGGAAAAAGTAATTTGTCGAAATTGCCCCTCCACTCAAATTGTTCTCTCTTAACACACAGCACACTTTAGCAGATCGAGCCTCTCTCTCTCTCTCTCTCTCTCTGTCTGTTGGGATCATCATCGTCGTTGTCGTCGTCCTCAATTTCCGATATCATAATTGATTGGAAGAAGAGGAAGCGGAAAACATGTTTAAATTCTTGAAAGGAGTGGTAGGGGGATCTGGAACGGGCCTCAAGGATCTACCTTACAACATAGGGGATCCTTACCCTTCCGCTTGGGGCTCTTGGTCTCACTTTCGCGGCACCTCCAAGGTAACTTCGCCGGATTTTCGATTTTATGCTTAATTCAAGCTTAATCACATTGTTCTGCTCGGTGATTACGTAGCTTAACTCGTCAGTATTGGATCTTGTGCTTGAATCAGCCTTTTTTTTCGCTGCAATTTAAATGTTTTTCTTTCTTACCTTGTTAGGATGATGGATCTCCGGTGTCTATATTTTCTCTTTCCGGTAGTAATCCGCAGGATGGCCATTTGGCTGCTGGTCGAAATGGTGTCAAGCGTCTTCGAACTGTAAGTAACTGTACTTGTTGCCTTCCTGCTGCCGCAATTCATTAGGATTATGAGGTCAAATGCTTTCGCCAAGTTCTGTTTCGTTTTGGCTTTTTCTATTTGCCGTTTGTTAGAATAACGAAATTGGCTGAATTTCATCATTAGTGTCAGTATAATTGTTTCATTTTTGAAACCTAACAAGATTAAATTTGTAATTGATATTTCTTCAAAAGCCATTTGCTTTCTATATAAGAAAAAGCACACACACATATAAACACTTTTTGCTTATTGTTCTTGCTTTTAGAAGCAGCAATCTGGTAGTAAAATCAACAGCCAAAAGTGGGGTATCAGTTGTCTTTGAAGTTATTCTCTCCATTCCAATGCATAATGGTCTTATTGGTTATATACAATAGTTGCTGGATTTGGGCCTTGAAATAAGCTTTTTGCTCCTTTTACAGGTGAGGCATCCAAATATTTTGTCATTTCTTCATAGTACTGAGGTTGAAGCTTTGGATGGCTCTACTACAAAATTTACCATCTATATTGTCACAGAGCCTGTTATGCCATTGTCTGAGAAGATCAGGGAACTAGGTTTAGAAGGTACACAAAGGTATATCCACTTAACTGCACTTAGTCTTCTGCTTGTTCTGATGCCCAGAATGCTTAATATATATTTTAGTTGCTGACATTGGAAATAAATTATGCCCTATTTGAAATTTTGTTTTCCCCTTGTGAGGCGAGCATACATAGAATATTGAGAACATTATTTGTTGTTTAATACCTTGATAAATTTAGATTGTGAATTCTTTTTTTGGTAGGGATGAATATTATGCCTGGGGGCTGCACCAAATAGCTAAAGCTGTGAGCTTTTTAAATAATGACTGCAAACTTGTAAGTATTGCAAACTAGTTGCAATTTTAGATCTTTAGTAACAGAAATTTTAAAAATGCTTAGTTATTTAATATTCTAAATGCCATCAACTGTAGATTTAGTATATTTCTGACATGATTGCTGGAAAAGAGTCAGTTATCATATGAGAGATTGAGCAACTTGTGTCCTGTATATAATATGAAGCCATTAATAAATTCTTCTGTCCATGCACTAATACGCATCAATGTACTTGCCATGATAATCAAAGGATTTGTGTCTTGCATTTGAATTGCTCATGATTATGTGAGAGCAATTAGCAGTTCGTATCTCAGGGAAATTGCTTTCTACATTTGAAATAGACCGCATATGAATCATGATATATGGTTCTATGGACATACAATAAAAGAATTTCATTGCGTGCTTGTGTTTTTCTTTTTTCCTTTAATATTAATTAAACCAATAATCATTTTAAGATGGACCAATTATTCCTATTATTTTTTAATTTAGTTTTTCTTTTGGAATTTCTTTTCACTGTAAATGTTGTACACTCATTGCATTCACCAAAACAAAGACGTACAGTCAGGCGGTTCTCCAACTTACCTGGAAGTTCTTTGATTCTAATGTTTTCTGTGCTTAGGTTTACCTTAAGTAATTAAGTTGAGTGATCTTGTAGTTTGTTAACATTCTATGCAATTATAACATAAACTGAAATTATGTTGAAATATATTGCATTTATGGAAACTATGCCTAGTGGCCAGTGTGCATGATGCAAGTCTTTCTGTTTAGGCCTCAATGAATGCACGGTTTGAATATTATTTGTTCCCAATCAATCTGCTTGCACTTGGTTTTGAGGTTTTCCTGTTGCATGTGAGGGTCATTGATCTAAAGTATATTTGTAGAAGCTGCTGATAGGTCTGGAATTCTAATCCACTCTTTCACTTTCAGAATCAATTTTTTGACTAGATTTGGATGGTACAGGTTCATGGCAATGTTTGTTTGGCAAGTGTTGTTGTAACACAGACCTTGGACTGGAAGCTACATGCTTTTGATGTTCTATCTGAGTATGATGGGGGTAATGAATCTGCTTCAGGACCAATGCTGGTAATACTTGTGTTTGGATGTGAGCCAAGTGTTTCAGTTATTTTTGAATCTCAATATGACGTATATATTATTCTAATCTTCCAATTCAAGTAGGTAATTTACTGGAATGAATTCTAAATATCTCCTTAAAGAAGATCCAAGCTTTTCTGAATTGTTTATTAAGGACACAAGACATAAAAGTAACTAATAACAAGAGATATAAAGTGAAGTGGTTTTAGTCCTGCCTACTTAGTTACATTAGTTATTGAATATTGGCATTGGAATTACTTTTAAATATTAAATTCAGGATAATTGCAGCCTATCTTATTTTTTGCAGCATCAAGATTTCATACATGAAATGTTTCATTCAATTGTTATACAAAATTTTTTATTTTGTGTTTTTGTATTTTAAATTTTCACTTTGCATAGTTTATGCTATGAAATCCTTTCTAGCAGACCAATCTCTCTCTCTTTTTTGTTTCTTTTTTTTTTTATGGACTCTCTAGGTCAACTCTTTGTTGTTTTTTTTCTGTCAAGACTGCCTTTCCAAAATGGATGGTCGAATTTAATCATGTTTTTGTTTTCATCAGCAATATGAATGGCTTGTTGGATCTCAATACAAACCAATGGAATTGGCAAAGTCTGACTGGGTCGCAATCAGAAAATCTCCACCATGGGCTATTGATTCTTGGGGTTTGGGTAAGCTTGTATTGTTTCTTTTGATGTATTGGTGTTATAAATTAGGTGGGTCAATGAGTGATCACTTTATTTGTGCTAATGCTTTGAGCATCCAGTTCTTATCATATTGATGTCTTGGTGTATTTATGACATGATATTACATTTTGAAAAGGAATGTTTCCTGGCATGGATTTCCTTATGTATTTTATGTTTGAGTTGGTACTGGCTGTTATGCATGCCTGTTAGGCTCCAGTATTGACTGAATAAGCTTAGCTTTCGAGGTTCATTTGGCTATGCTGCCAGTGGGCATTCATTTGCTTGTTTTTAAAATGAGATTTGTTTCAAATTTAAAAAATCTTTGCAACTGTCTTTTATATGCACTGTTTGTTACAAGGCATTCAAAAAAATATGTTTTCACATATGAATGTATCAATGAATCCTAAGTGGATGAATGAAAACAAAGATAATAATCATCAACTATTTGTGATTTGGTTCATGTTCAGTTATTTATCTGTTTCTTCTTCTATATGATTCTCTATTCAATTTGAACATTTTTATTTAATTTGATAGGATGTCTTATTTATGAGATCTTCTCCGGCATGAAGTTGGGCAAAACTGAGGAGCTGCGTAACATTGCTTCTATTCCAAAGGTTTGTAGCTCTTTTTTTAATGATTACAAGCTATGTACCAGTTACTTCCAGATGTGTGTAGCATACTTCAAATTAATGGCTATTATTATTGTTTGCATACCTGAGTTTGCATAGTGCTTGTTGGGTGCTTTCATTTTGGTCCCTTGCAAGGTTCATTTTCATATTCATCTGCCTACTTTCTTGTCTCACAGTCTCTGCTTCCAGATTATCAGCGGCTTTTGAGCTCCATGCCATCTCGCAGGTTGAATACATCAAAGCTTATAGAAAACAGTGGTGAGTGCTCTTTTTGAGTCTATTGTAGTTATGCCAACAGTCTCAGAAGTTTTACTAAAACAGGCTGCTTTATAAGCTGGAGATTCATCTTTAGTTCTTGGTCCAATTACATTAATTGTTGGCCTCTTTGGAGTAACATGGACTGTTCTTTATTCATGCAGCAGAGTATTTATATTATTTCTTGGTTGTTATGCTCTTCTTTTGGGTGGACTGTTGGTTCATCTATTATCCTCACTAAATTATTCTGAACTGTTTTCTTGGGTGTAATGCCTTCATTCTGTTATTTATATGTTGTGGTACTTTTTGTTTGAGGTTTAATTTTACTTTTTGAACGACAGTTGAAACTTTTTATGCATGTGTAACCTTTTATTTTTGGTTTTTACTATTATGTGGGAAGCATTGGGAGATGAAAGAGTATTAATCAGTTGATGAAGAAAATAGAATGAATGTTCTAAAACTAATCCTAACACCCCAACAAAAATTGTTAAAGTAGGTAGACAAATGAAGATCTGAGTTTGAGTTGTGGGAAGTCTTCCTAGATAAGGTGATGCAGATGGAAGGATTTGAGTATGGCTGTCATGGGTGTGATTTGTGGTGATGAAGAGAGATGGCACACTTTCGTGAAAGTAAAGTTACTTGGATGCTTTCTATTTAGAAACAGGGATCTTGTGATTCCTCATGATCATATTATTTGTCTTTTTGGTTTTTCATCAGAAGGCTTGGTAAGTGGCTATCTGTTTTATTTGGTGCTTCTGTTTAGTTCTTCTGAAGTCTGCCTTTTGAACTCAATGCCATCTCATATTTTTTCTTTGTGTATATAATCTTTTTTGCATGTGTTTCACCACTATTGCATTTGTTTCTAATATTCCTTCTTCTCTGTCATGTTTGTGCCTTGTGCTAATACCACATTCTAAAATGCTTTTATTGTCAGAATATTTCCAAAATAAGTTGGTAGACACAATTCATTTCATGGAAATTCTTAGTTTGAAAGACAGTGTTGAGAAGGATACATTCTTTCGCAAGCTTCCTAATTTAGCAGAACAGCTTCCTCGCCAAATTGTGTTGAAGAAGGTGCAACTTCTGAAACTCGAGTCTGATGAGTTAATAAAGACCAATCATCCATAATTTCAACTGCCAATTTATGATTGTGTAATCTGCTTCTGCAGTTACTTCCTTTGTTAGCCTCTTCCCTTGAATTTGGTTCGGCTGCTGCCCCTGCTTTGACTGCACTGTTGAAAATGGGTTCTTGGCTTTCAGCTGAAGAATTTACTCTGAAGGTCATACTCCTGTTCATTTCTGTTTAGTTTATACATGTGATTTTATTTTTGATTTACTTATAAAAATTCAGTTTGTGTTTAAACATGTAGACTTTTGCTGTATTACTTTTGGCTGACTGAACAAGACCTTTGTTTCTTCTTGCAGGTGCTGCCTACAATTGTGAAACTTTTTGCTTCTAATGACCGAGCCATTCGCGTTGCTCTCCTACAGCATATTGATCAATATGGAGAATCTCTATCGGCTCAAGTTGTTGATGAGCAAGTAAGCAAGCCACAACAGAGTGATGGCTTTTATTGTTCTATCTGATTCAAGTAGATTCTAGTTTACTTAAGTCGAACCCCTGATAATCATAGCAAATATTGATTTCGATTTGGACCTTTATAACTAGGTCTACCCCCATGTTGCTACTGGATTTGCAGACACGTCTGCATTTCTCCGGGAATTGACTCTTAAGTCCATGCTTGTATTGGCTTCTAAGGTATGCTCATCTTACTGGCTGGTAGCAGCTATGTTACTTGGATCTCATATTTTCCTATTGTATTGTGTCAATCACATATTGGACGATTCAAAGTAGACAAATGTTTGTGGGTATGATCCTCTAAATATATGGAAGAGCTCACAAAGAATTGAACATATTTGTCTTGGGCACACACCAGGTTTAACACTTGGAACCAAGAGCAGGCAACATAAGGTAGCATGACTCTTTTTGGGTGATGGAGAAAATTATGATTGTTCCAATGGAAAATACTCAGTGTAAAATGTTACAACCGATTTTTCAGACTTTCTATTGTCTGTTATTGTCAAGTTCCACCATTCCTAAGTGACCACTGCTGAAATGAGGATCTTCGGATGAGTGGCAGTAGAATAATAGATAAATATAGAAATGAATTCCCTATTATATGCTGATGGTCTTACGTATGTTTGGATGTGAACAAAGTAGGACAAACAATGTTTAAGAAGGTCTTATTGTGTGCAAAGTTCAATGGTTTTATTTATGTTGAAAGAGTTCAAGTACAATTTATTGAAAAAGAAAAGAAAAGAAAAACTCAAGGTTGAGTTTGAGATGAGCTTGTGATTTGATTGTGAGTCTTTTCTAACTGATGCTTTGCTTACTTTTCATTGCAGCTTTCGCAACGTACTATGTCAGGCTCTTTATTGAAATATCTTTCCAAGTTACAGGTATGCATAGCATTTCTCAATGTAGTGTTCTATGTTCTTTCTCTGGTTTATTATTATTATTATTATTGTTTTATTTATTTATTTTAATTATTACTATTAAGTTTCTCATTTAGTTTGTTTGAGGATTGCTTCCCCTTTTAACATCATTTGCTCCTTTATGTTCCATACATTGTGGCAATGTTTTGCAGGTTGATGAAGAGCCTGCAATTAGAACAAATACCACAATATTACTTGGAAACATTGCAAGCTACCTAAATGAAGGGGTGAGTAGATTCTAGGTCAATCATTCTTGAGTATTTTGAGTTACCTGACAATCTTATCTGAGATGTCAATTTTTGGTGGCATGATTCTCTTTGTTTTAAGTGTCAACTGTTCTGATTCATGTGAAAGTTTAATTAACAACCTCCTGTTAAATTGCCATCTTTTGGTTGACTCTAAATTGCAGACTCGGAAGAGAGTTTTGATTAATGCTTTTACAGTCCGTGCATTGCGTGATACTTTCGCTCCTGCCCGAGGAGCAGGTATATGTGTTTATAGCTAGTTTCTGATATTCTTGGTTTTGGAAATGCTTTCTTTGATTTTCAAAGCAATTGTCTTCTTGGTCTGTTTAAATGTCATCAAACTAATGTGAAATTATTTTGTGGCAGGAGTTATGGCTTTATGTGCCACCAGTTCTTACTATGACATCACTGAGATTGCTACACGTATTCTTCCAAATGTTGTTGTACTTACCATTGATCCTGACAGGTTATATTATTGTTGGACAGTTAAGTTATTGTTGCTTTTTTATTATTATCCCTCAAGTGTACATGAAGAATTTGCTCTTGTCTTTTAAGCAGTGATGTAAGGTCAAAATCATTTCAAGCAGTTGATCAATTTTTACAGATAGTGAAGCAATACAATGAGAAGGTTAGCTTTACCATCGTTTTTCCTCTCCTGCTGAATTTAGGAAAATGTGAACTGACTGTAGTTTTGGTGCTATCAAGCAAGAATTAAATGTTACATCATATATTTATCTTAACTGTCATGTCTTTTCTTGATCAGCATCCTATAGCATTCAGCATAAAATTTTCATCCTTAATGAAACAGTTTGCAGCTCCTGTTTTGTAGATTTTAAGCAGTAAATCACGATTTGAACCAGGCTAAAACTTCTTAGTATTTGGTGCTGCAATAAATTGATGTGGCTACAGACATCCTAGAATTGTTAAATTATAATTTTATGGCATTTTTCAAATTGCTGCAAGCAGTGTATGTCTATGTTTAGTAGGTAACCTTGTATTTATTTCAAGCATGCAGGCAACATGCAGTTAACTGTGTCTACTTTATTCAGTTACATACTGTTGCTTTTTGGTGTTTGTTTCTTATCTTTAGTTGACTCTTTGTCTTATGTTTTACTGTGGATGTTTTGATTCAGCTAATAGTGATGGCATATTTAACATTATGGTATTAGTATCATTGTCTGTATCAAACTGTTGTATCTTTATATGATGGTAAAAATATTTGAAATGAAAACTGAATATTCATGGGATGTTTTAAGCAATCTTTGCTATTGTCTATGGTATGGTATTTGTTATGGTGATTCTGTTTCTCTGCGGTTCTTTATAGAGTAATGCTGGAGATGCTGCTGGCACTACAAGTGTAGGTATCTCATCAATGCCAGGAAATGCTAGTTTACTGGGGTAAGTTGATCAGACCTTTTATACAGTAGGAGGGCCATATTGATTGCTATCCTCAAGAGGAACCCATGGAAATAGTGACCATAGAAACTTTTATGTTCCAATTTGTTTCCTTGTAAGGTGCATTAGTTCTTCTCAGCTAGCTTAATTAGTTAAATGATTTATAAAGGCAGGTCAAAAAATTGTTATAGCCACTTGATGGGTTATGTTGGTTCTCTTTGCCTAGGGTTATGTTTTGGGTGTTGAGCACTAAGTTTCTGACTTTGCAGATGGGCCATGAGCTCCCTGACTCTCAAAGGTAAACCTTCTGATCAAGCTCCAGTTGCTGGTGCCAATTCTGTCACTCCTGCAACTACCACAACCTCTACACCCAGCTCAGGTATTTGTTGCAAATTACGCAATTGATAAAATTGCTACTTGTTATTTTGGACCGGAGTTAACACTATGCTGCACTTTTGGTCTCTACTTTTGCCTGATCATAGGTGATTGTGTTCATTCAATTATTCCATCTCTAATGTTGGTTTTCGGTGACAATTTTAGGACTAATAGAAATACCAAGTACAGCACCAGTCCACCGTGTAAGTTCCAGTACAGACTTTGCCGATCAACCCACGCCTCCATCCCCTACTTCAACTGATGGCTGGGGAGAAATTGAAAATGGCATTCACGAAGAAGAGGACAATGAGAAAGATGGATGGGATGATATTGAACCCCTTGAAGAGCCAAAGCCATCTCCGGCCCTGGCAAATATTCAGGCAGCTCAGAAGCGTCCTGTGTCACAACCAGTTTCGCAGCCTAAACCACAAGGTAGTATTGTCCATTCAATTGTGGAATTTTGGAGTTGAGTTTCTAGTCTTAATGTTTATGGTCCAAGTCTGGAAATATATAACAAGTATATGCATAGATAATTCATGATGAATATGTTAAAATTGGATCAATTAATGAAGTAATAACCATAGATGATCTGGATTGCATTGAACTAGAAATCTGTGTTATTATTTAAATATGGAGTTGTAGACATTTTTTTTTTTTGGTTAATGTAGAAATGCCTGAAATGTTTTATGGTCATCCTTTCTCCTGTACATTAATTGGTACTTGAGTCTTTCTAGTTACTTGTTTAATGAGAGATTTGAGACATTGAGACAATATATTTATTGGGTGATTCTTTTTGTTTTTTTTCCTTTAAGCAGCTAAAAGTTTGCGACCTAAAAGTACAGTGAAGGTGGCGCAAGATGAAGATGATGATTTGTGGGGTTCTATAGCTGCTGCTCCTCCTAAAACTGCTTCAAAACCATTGAATGTGAAAACAGCTGGAGCAGCTGATGATGATGATCCCTGGGCAGCTATTGCAGCTCCCCCTCCTACAACCAAGGCGAAACCTTTATCAGCAGGACGAGGGAGAGGAGCTAAACCTGCTGCTCCAAAACTGGGTGCACAAAGGATAAACCGGACATCCTCATCTGGGATGTAAGTTACAAGCAAAAGAACACAAATGAAGGAAACGAAAAGATCAGGTTTTGTACATTTCCTCTTCTGGTGACTGGTTTGACATCAAAATTTAATGAGCCTTTGTCACCAAGTTGTATCTGCTACTTTTCTCTGGCATATTATTTGATTTGTAATATCATTCTTTTTTCACCAAATGTTGTTTGCTGGTCTTAACTGTCAATTATGAAGAAACTAGCCTTTGAAAGACTGGTGCGCAGTTTTGATCTTTGTATTGTTTAGGGAATTATAACTGAGCTTGTAAACAAAACTCTAATGTATTCCTTCCAAAGAATAATGGAAAATTCTCTGGCTATATCAGTTTCTGTTAACTTGTATGTACTGAATGGGGGTTTGTTTTGTCTAAAATCTCTCCTTAGTAAGCATTTATGTGTGCCATGAATGTCTGTTGGGTAAAGCTAGAAAGGCCAAAATGCAAAGAGTTAGATGTGTCCATTCCATTCCCGTTCCTGATCATGAGATGTATGAAACATTACTAGCAGTGTCAAAACATTTACAGTGATAGTTGACATTGAAACATGTAGGCAATGACATCTATGGAATGAAGGGAGTTGCATTTGATTGGCCTACACAGACATTTCAGCAACCTGCTTTTCTTGAACTTGAGGGCAAGAAAAGAAAGAAAAATTGGTCATGGTTACCCAGCATCAAGCTGAACCCTTTATTTTGTACTCCACCTGGTGACTTTGATTCTACTTGAGTCTCTCCATCCTCAGCCTCTCCAATTCCTTTACCATTTGCCAATGTTCCATTGACAGACTGGTTTCACCAAAACTTGTGGACACCAGTCGGGCCATTGTCATCCATCTGCAAATCATAAAACGAATATATGTTATGATTTTTAGGTGTTACATCAAGAATGGAAAATAGAATGCTAATAACAGCATAATCAATTACTCTGTTTCTAACCGGTTAAAATCTTGACTGCCCAAGCTCCGATCCGCTTGCCTTGCGGCGACCAAATCATCTTCTACCTCCTGTGATCAATGAGAATAGAAATTAGAAATGGCATGAGACCTCCCCTTAGAAAGAAAAAATTAGTAATTATATAATAAGCAACATCAGAAAGATTTCTGGTCACAAACTGAATTTAATTGATCTAAACCATCAACAATGATCAAATGCTCAACAACATTAACAGATTACTAAAGTGTCATTAGATACTAGGAGTCCATATATGAGATAAAGGTTCTCTCTTAGAACTAGTATGAGTACGGGTGAATCTGAATTTAAAATGCAATAAATTTTCATAAATCAGGGAAAATTTACCAAAAATGTTCCGATACTTCCAAGGCAGTGCAAGTTTTCAGGCAACAATTATAGGTGGGAGAACTGTATTGCACTGAATTACATGTTGGAAGTAATCAGGTCAATCTAAGTCATACCTTCTGCATTTCTGACCCAATGGAATATGGTAGTGATTGAACAGTAGCCAAGTACCATCTCCAAGCTTCCACTGCTTCTGCAACTGGTATTTCAGAGGATCCTAGAGAAGAAGGCTGGAAAGGTATGACTACATCAGCAGGTACAATGTTAGATTTCCCCTCAGAGAAAATAAGTAACTGGACATCCGCTGCCATTTCCATTTTACAGTACTGAAAGTCATACTCCACCTGAAACAAGCACATTTTGGTTATGAGTCAAACTTAAAACTGAGGTCAGACAGAGCAGAATTTCCCTAGTATAATTGTAGCTTTAAGGGAAAATACATATTTCAACTGCTTGCAATAGATAAACCACGCAATAGGCAGATTAAATGTCTGGAAACATCTGGGTTGTAGATTTACACACTAACATGCACACGTTTTACAGTGACAGCTTACTTTCTGAAACTCCACTAGATTTTTCAATAACTTTGTATTCTCAATTCCTTTAGAGTTGAGGGTTCCTGACTCTAGTTGGGTTTCATCAACCATTAAGTGCGAGCCCTCAGGTAGCTGCAGAACTCCACGTATCAATCTGCAACATTACAATGTGAAGCTATCAATAAATACTGAGAAAGCTCTTTCTTTTTTAGAAGTTATGATTTCATTTCGTGCGGGAGAAGCTATCAATAAATACTGAGAAATTGATGGTTGCTAGTTGCTTTCATATTGATTGCAGGCGGTAACTTAGTTACAAGAACATGAACAAGGATACCTGTTTGTTTGATAATCCCGTTTTGGGGCAAGAGAGGCAGTATTCAGATATTCCAGCGTGAGAGGTATGCAATGCGTGAACGGTAGGAGGTTTTTGACAGCTTGGCTAAGTCTAATGCCAAACACAGACACACTTTCTTTGCTTAAACCTATTAGATTTAGTGAGAGCTTCCCCACAAAAACATCAAATGCTCGAGCATGAACCTGTCCAAATGATCTTGTTATTTTCTCACATTCAGATGGGATGGGAAGAAGAGTTCTCAAGGAGACACAAAGAACATTTTTAGGAAAGAATTCATAACAAGAATTTGAGAGGTAATACATTAATTCACAAAAAGAGACTGCCACCCAACATAATATACAAGAAAACAAAATGATAATTATGGAGGAAATCAGTATTACCTTGGACAGAAGATGCAACAACATGAAATGAGCAGCTACCCCATCATTTCCAAGAACAGCTGTAAGATGCCTGAACAGAGCTTCTCTTATCTCTTTCACCAAATGTGGCTTTGGCTGCAAGAATCAAAGATTAAAAGTGAATAAGAGGAAGCAGAAGAGAAGACAATAGAAATTTAAACTGCAAACTTGTCAGTATCAGGTAGAAAATTAATGCGGCAACGCATAAACTTCTGTAATTTACCTCCATTATTGGGAAGCCTTGCAGAAAGTCATGGACAGCAAGCTTCCTATGTATAATACAGTGCAAGCGTGGGACCTGCAACTGGAAAGAATTGGTTAAAAATAACTTAAACACGTTTTGAACCAGACAATGCAATAAGAAATCAAACTATTTAGTTACAGCAAGCCATATACACAGAGCAGTAGTCAAAGCTTATGATGTACATCATGAATTTCTACCTACAAAGACTTGATCATAAAAATAATTGAATGTGATAAGACACATATAGGTAGTTGAAAATGTGGAGTATTTTTTGGGTGGTCATTCCATGATTTAATCTCAGAAAATACATTTTCATACATATAATCCTCAAAGGATTTCTGAACTGATTCGTCATTAAAGAATTAGTGGGCCTAAAACAATCTGTGCAGGTAATGAAGCCTCAAATGTTTCGTAGCTTGAAGCAGATAATACCTTATTAGGGGGCAAGTACACCAGTGCATCATCATAGAAATTGTTTGATAACTCATCATCCTTCTCAAGTGCAAGTTCTGAATCAAAACTGAGGACCCCAATAAACTCAACAACATCATTCAGCTTCAACTCTGACTCTGGAGAATCATATATCTGCATTATCAATATAAGAAATAATCAACCTTGATTCAAAAGGGAAGAATTAACTTTCACTCATCTATAGTTTGTCAGTGTATCTGGATGTATATTGGAACAATGAAATGAAATCATTTACCTTTACTAGACAAGGAAGGTAATCTTTGTCAACATATTGAAATGTAGCCATGCTGGTACAAGAGCTCCCAGTTTTAGAATCCCTAGACTCTGGTGAAGAGAAAGGAAATCCATCTTCTCTCTAACAAAAATAAAAAAAAAAATCCAATTAGTAAAAATCTTCCTTCAGAAGTAGCATGTAAAGATAACATTAATAAAAAAAAAAAAAAGGAATTCAAACCAAATTCTATGGACAATTCCAAAAAAAAAAAAAAAAACCTCATACCCTCAAGCAATGTGTAGTTTAGCCCTCCAATTTTAGGTCTTTTTGATGTAGCAATTGAACTCATAGATTTGGCTTAATTGAAATCCAATTTATATTTATCTGATGTGGAAAAATATTGTCAAAAAAACCTATTTCGTGGCCAAAATAGTCCAAAATTCTTTTTTTTATTATTATTCTTTACATATCTAAATTCTGATCAAGGAAATTTGTATGTTTATATATTCTACAAAATCCCAGAAAATAAACTTGATAAGATAGTAAAATGAAAAAAAAAATGCAGCAATGACAAAGATATGTCAACTTATAGGAATATTTGCTAAGGTTTGGGAATAGAATTTGGCTTTAGTAAAATAGTATGCCAACTTCATAGGGTCATTCATGGCAACTAATAGTGTACAGAGAATATGATATCAAGGAGTACAGATCCAACTACAGCAATAATGATGACAACACAGCATTCGGTTGAATGCAGCAATCTTTAAGCTCCAATGGTCAAGCTAAATAACATCTCTACAGAAGATAAGAAATTTCTTGGTTCTCAACAACAGCAAGACTTAAAATTTCACCTTTGTCGCATCAAATCTGATGCTCAAACAACAAACAGATAACATCAATACATAATGCCAAAAAAAAAAAAAAGACCAAAAAGCTATGTGCTAATGAAAGACATAACTTCTTACCATCTTCTTGGTAGTCGGAGAGCTTTTAACCTCATCATCATGCACCTGTAATTACATATAGTATCTAAATTAGATTAGGTAAGATACCAAATACATTAAAACACAATACAACAGGAACCAAAGAACTAGCATTGTTTTTGAGGAGTTCTAAGCATCTTAAAGATGGCCTAAAAAGATTTATAAGCATGTTCTAACCGAATGACCATACAATAACATGCCATACTATAATCTAAATCCTATCTAGTTTGAGGCAAAAACAAACACAAACAGAAGGCAAGACCATCACCTCATTTTCATAGAACACATAGCATTGAGACTACCCTATTTTTAGGACTGTAAGATTAGGCTAAGCAGTCAGGAGAATAATGAACAAGGAAATGAATAAATAAATAGTAAGGAGAGCGGGAACAACCACATCCATGGGATCATCTTCATCATCCATCCTACGCCGCTTCCCCCTGTTTTGTGATGACTGATCCATGCCTTGATTAAGATTCATTTCACAAGAAGGTTCAGTCCATGAACTCTGTCCTGGAACCTTTAAAAAGAAAAGCAAGAATACAGTCTCAGTTTCTACTTTCTTTATTTTGAAATAATAATACTGAAAAAAAGGTCATACCCACTGAACCATGAGACAATGGAGTAAACCATATTCCAATTTCACAGTATATCACCATTTAACAGCAAAAAGGAAATGAACCCTAAAATTTAAAACCATGAATGTACAATAAAGTATAACCTGATCAACATGAAAAACACTACCATTAACTCCAAAATCCTTCAAGAAACAAAGAAAAAGAGGTGGAGATAGAGAACTTACAGGAACACAGTAGAGCAAACGGCGTTCCCAAACACACATATCAGGAGAGGATCCCATTGGATATTGGGAAATATCCATGAACTTGTTGGTCCTCCATAAATACCCATCCTTTATTTAGCAAGAAAACAAGAATAGAGAAAACACAAAACCCATCAACTTCACATTCTTAAGGAATAGACAAAATAAATAAAGGCAAAATTTTTTAGCAAGAAAATGGAAAAAGATTACTTCTTGCTACCTTGTAAGCACCAGCATAGATTTCATTTCCCAGCATGTCCTGGATCATGCCCCGGTAACGGACAAGAGTGTAGGGCCGAACCCATCTCATAGTCTTTGGATTAAGGATGGGAACCTGGGAGAGCCCCGATTCCTGGAAGAGGAAATGGCGAAAGACGTCGAGGGCACCCCAGTCCTTGCCGTCAAAGGCGGAGGGATGGGTCTGGGTCCCTGACCCTATCGCCTTCTCGAATGTCAATCGGACGGCTCCCAGTGGGTTCGCCAAGCAATCGTACGGTGGACCACCCATCTCTCCCTCTCTCTCTCTCTCTCTCTGATCGACCGATTCGTTTGACACTTCCTCACTTGCCAAACTCAATTCGCCCGCTAAAAGTGAGAAGGTGGGTAGCTTTTCCCGCCCATTCTTCCCGCCATTTTGGCTGTGTGAGACTGAGATGCGAGGATACTGAAGTCGGCAATCCTAAAGAGCTTGGGTTACGGCCCAAATATATAAGACTCTGACCCAGGATTTCACAGAATGAAGAAAGAACGTGGGCTTAGAGGTCGGTTTGGTGGCTGACTAATGGAAATTCAACCTGGTCCAAAATCCTACTACTCAGGCCTGAAGGATTGCTTGGTTCGGTTAATTGAGCCCTTTTATATAATATTATAATTTTAATAAATATATTAATCATATCATATAAAATAAAGCTTAATATCGTATCATATTATATAATTATTAAATATATTTTAAACTTTTATATAATTAATTATTCGTGTTATATTTATATTTATTAATATAACTATTAATATTTAATTTTGACACAATATAATTAAAATACGAATACACAAATTGTTGTGTTTATTTGAAAATGTGAAAAAAAAATCTTTAATCATTCTATTTTACATATAAAATATGAGAATTTCTTCTGTTCGTGTTTCAATTGCACCCACATTAAAAGAAACTGAATCTCTTGTATCTGTTACAAAATTGGGATCTTGCATCTCTGGTATCTTGGTATGCTTCTAATCATGCTACCCTTTCTCCAGATTCTCTTCTTCCCCTCCACAATTCTTAATCTTGTTTGCTGATGGTTTTGCAAGTTTGTCTTCCCAATCCCTGGAATTCTGCTCCATTCCTTTGGATGTTGAAGCTGGACAGCCTAAGCTTTGAACAGATTGTACTCAAGATTAGAGAAATAGTGAGCTGCATGGTGTTCCTATATTTATAGTTTCTGACAAAGATGTCAAAGTCATGGGGCACTTGGCCACCCACAAACAGATGGTTCCAGTTCCATGCTGCTCACATTTGATTAAGGGTTAGATGTTTGCACTGAAAGAGTTTCTCTAGCTGAAACCATGGATGTTAAAGGTGAGAATCATTTTCTGGTTGCTGGTTCATATTTTTCTTAGTTTATTCTTCTGCAGGACAAGTACAGATCAAGAATATGCAAGAAAGTTGCAGCTTTTACCAAGCTGACATCATCCATTGCTTTGGTAAATGGTTACAAACAAGTTCTTGCATCCCCTTTTTTAACTTCATTTTCCTGCAAGGAACAAGGAACCATGCTATATCTTTGCTGGCATTGATATGGATAGTTGTGTCCTGCTAATTGCAATTCTGAACAAGAAGGAAAACCAGAAAACCAATGGAAAATTTCGTTTTACTGACAAGAGGAGGAGAATCTATGTTTCCCAGGGGACATTGCTACCTAGATTATTCACTTTCATCTCTTTCACCACATTGCTCTTATGTATGAATAACTATAAAAGCAAAAGTTCATTGCAAACAAACTACCCTGTTTATCTTGAGAACAATCTAGTGAAGAAGTTTCCTGAGTTGGACTTCTCCAAGCATGCTGCATGAACATATCTTCCAAAATTGTCTATTTGCCTTGGTTCACCCCTTGTATCTTTCTTGCACACCTTGCATCTTTTGTCAACCCATCCTTCTTCCACATATTCTCCATCCACTGGTATAAACAAAAATAGATGAAGAAAATGAATCAACAAATGATATGGAGATTACAACTATGTTATAAAAACGATAACTCTTTGCACAAACCATGCATTGATTACATCAAAACCTTTCAAATTATGTCTAGACACAATCAGTAAGAAAACCCAGAATTTGTGATGATTCATTTAGCCTAAATCTCTGATATTGGTTTGTCAGTTTGATTCCCCAAGATCATCAACGACCAATGTTTCTCATCATATAACTTCTGATAGAGGTAATGGAGGAGAATATGAGGAAAACAAACTGTGAAATTCAGGCAGAACACATCCATTGTAAGTTAAAATTAGTGCAAGGGCTTGCAGAAATAAAATACTGCAAGTTCATCATAAGGATAGAAATCTATTCCATGTCCAAGTTTTCAGGATTCAATGTAGAGAAACCTAAAGCAGAACAATTTCTTTCAACTTCTGTTAAAACCTTTCCTAGATATTAAGCTGCTTTTTCAGTTCTTTATTTTCATTATAAGGTATTCAAAAGTGCTACAGACCAGAAACCTGAACAGCATAAGCCTCAAGTTTATTTGCATACCATCAACATAGGATTTGAAGAAATCCTTGTATGTTCCTCCAATTTTCCTTCTCAGAGCTCCATACTGCAGTAAACATGGAATCCCAGTTACATAGTAGTAATTAATGTGAAAGAAAATGGTTGAATGCAGAGAAAAGAGCAGTGTCCAGTTTTTTAACAATGGCAGACTCATGAAAAGAAAGTTTTACCTGTTCCCTTGACATTCTCCCACCCGACTTGGTGGCTTCTCTAGCCTCCCCTAAAAGCTCAGCATCCTTTACAGACCTAACTTGAGAGAAATCTAGAGCCTCAGTCACACTGCTAAACAAAGATTGCTTGCTCTTCTTTGGCTCTTCTTTCTCATCATTCTCTTTTTTAGCTGAAACTCTGTAGGTAGAGCTCCTACTGAACCTATGGGTGGAAAAATGTTGTGGAAGTCCTACATGTGGAGGGACACTGTTTTGTGAAGGTGACAAGGGGAGAGCTCTGAGTCCCATGGTTTGCTTCTTTTGGCAGGAAAGCTGCAACTGACAATGCTCTCCACAAGGCTATGCAAGCCTCTTTAGTTATAGTCCGTGTGGCTGTCTTAGTTTGTTCTACATATATAGTAAGCATGACTGCGACTTGGGAAATTTGGTGGCTAAAGGAAGAATACGTGGACCATTGCCAAACTATTAAAATTGAGAGGACCGCTTGGTTCTGCACTTTGGGTCAAACATAAACAAAGCAGAAATATCTTCATAAAAATTCCATGGCCAGCAGGAAACCCAGAATTTTTGTTTTATGTTACTACTCTATGTCTTCTTCTGGTACCATTTGGAGGAAAACAATGGAAGATTTAGGACTTGTACACTTTCATTATAGTAATTTCAATTCTGTATTGTATCAAAATATGAAAGCAGGAGAATCTCTCTTAAACAAGTAATAACTTCCTCTAAAGGCCAAGGTCAATCTAGAAATTGACATAAAGCTACAAAAACTACTTTACATCAGAAGCTTACACGACATAAACCATTCCAACCTCTAACAAAGATACCGGTGGCACCTTGAGTGTCACATCTGGTCCCCGGCAATTCCTTCTCAAGAAATTGTAGCCAAAGTTAACAGCCAATCTCTTTAAAACAGAAGATCCATGCTTTGCTCGAACATGTGAGTGCCCAAGTATGAATGCAGTCCCAGCTTCTTGGGCTGCTAACAGATCTTCTAGCTCTTCTCGCAACTGCACCTCCATATCAGTCCGCATGTCAGATTCAGACTCGTCATCAATGACAAATCTAACTCTTCTTTGGACAGCACCCACAGGCTCCATTTCGATGACATCTGATACGCTCTCTACTGTTGAGAATCCAACAGATACACTTTCTTGTTGCACACTTTCCTCAATCTCATAACCTGGTGCGCCAGAAAATGCCACTGTCCCAATCACAGCCAACCTACCTTCACTGGATGATTCATTGGAGTGGGAAGCATCATCATCAGAATTGCAATTAGTCTGCTGGCTTCGATGCCAATCATAGCGGATGAAATCAGCCAGCTTGGCAACTAGTTCCGATTCAAAAGAGTCAACATCCTGGTGTACATCTCGGTATCCATAGCGAACAATGCACCTATAAGACCGATGAGCTGCAGGACCTACACGGCCTACAAGATAACGCTCAGCCAGGGGCACATAGGGGACAGGTACTGATTTCACACACACAAAGACGAGGACACGGTGGAAGGCAGGAAGGTTAGTGACAAAACGAGAAAAGTTAGCAGGGATTCCCGAGGTGAGATCAGTAAAAACTAAGCCTATGCCTGGTACTCGGGCGATTCCTAAGCTTGGACCCAATGCTAAAAGCCATTCTAGTGATACCTTATTGTGGAGATCAAACTCATATTTCTTGATGGTGGCATAATGCCATACAAACATGATTGTCATGAGGAAAAGGGCCAGGAGAATAGGGAGCCAAGCACCTTCTGTGAACTTGGTGAGTGAAGCTGAAAAGTAAAGCAACTCAACAGAACCAAAGAAAAGAAGAAAGGAAAGAGCGACAAGAGGGGGCTTGTTCCAACAGAGGATGATAACCAGGGAAGTGAGGCACGTCGTCACTAACATCACAGTCATCACTGCTAATCCTGAAAGAAATAAGAACAAATTTGTAGTGCATCAAACTTCTCTATGTTTCTTCTAATATAAAAAGATCTTCCTCCAACCATTTTCTACTGGACTTTAACTAAGAGGAAGAGGCCAATTGAATAATCTTCCAGAGAATAAGAAACTGAACTTCATGTTATGAAGGAAATGATATTTAATGATGAGTTAGAAAATTATTATCTGGGATACATGACGTGTAACTTCACCTGATGCATTCCCCATGTGTTTTGTGTCTCTAAATCCAATAGTTACAGCAATACAGAGGATCATGAGCACCCAATTGATTTCAGGGATATAAATCTGGCCATGTATCTTGTCGGAGGTGTGAATAACCTTGACTCTAGGAAAACAGCCAAGTGATTGGCTCTGGTTGATGATTGAGAATGTTCCACTAATGATTGCTTGGCTTCCCACAACAGAAGCGAGAATCGCCACCACTAGCACAGGCCATCTCACACTTTCTGCACACCAAAACATCAGGCAAACAAGTCTTTTTATCTACAACCATGAATTCAGATATGCAACCAATCGAGTAATTTTGCAATCCCTTTTAAGCAGGGTAGGCATGATAACATTAAGATGGTGTTATACTATCAAACCACTGTTCTATCTTTTGCACTTGTTCTTAGCTCTTCGGGGAAAAAGGATGAGTGGTTTCGATGCTCAACTTGAAATTCAATGTCCCTATTTCATCAGCTTCCTACCATTTTTTCTTGGTTTTGAAAACAGATGATATATACCTGGAACCGAGACATAGAAACCGATCTGGTAACTCGTAGGATGATGTTGAGACAGATAAGCAGCTTGGCCCATATATGCCAATATAAGGGCGGGATAAACCAGAAAGGTAAAAGCAGTCTGCCACAAGACAGAGGTTAAATTTCAACTTAGTAACCAGCTTTGAACTCACATGAACAGTTAAGACATTACTATCACATCAACACTTAGAAGAGGATTAATGTTAGAGTTACCTGAATTGCAGCATAAGAGAAGTGACCAAGATCAGCAAACATTGCCTCTGAGCCTGCACGTATAAACAAGCATAATATGGAAATTTGTCGGTTGTCAGTTGTCCCAATGAACCAAACTTAAGGTTAAGATATTATTTATCCACATATGTCTACTTTAAAACAAAAGACTTTCAGATGTTCTACCATTGACTTAGTTTGAAGACTAAAACATAAATGGACACAGTACAGAATTCATGATAGAAACCATGGACTAGTGTAATGGGCCTAGCGAATTAGATCGTGTGAAATATTCGACTCGAATGATAGGAATAGTTATCCTGCCTGAGTATATGCAAGTAAAATTTTTGAATGTTAGAACTTAGATAATCACTTGCAGGGTAACTCTATGATAATTGTGAATAGATTGCTCCACTTTTCCCAAGATACTTTATCTAATAATGCCATATAATGATCTTATCATAACAATGAACCAACCTTAAACAAGGACAAAAAGCAACTAACGCCCCGGCTTTGGATTATTTAGAGTTAAGGAGATTACAATTGACACTATCAACAATGAGATGGACAATGGACACAATGTAACATGAAAATTAACCATATGTATGTATGTTCCAAACTCACCTGTTATGCATAGCAGTATGCCTCCCAAAGACATCCATCCACCTTTCCTTGTCTTCTTCAAGAACTTGAACATGTACTTTGGAGAAAGAGCTTGATAGACATGCGGGTTCCAGTGGATTATATTATATAAGCCAAGGGCACTGATGCATAGTAGCCATGTTAACACAATTGGAGCAAAGAAAAATCCCACCCGATGTGTACCATAGTGTTGAAGTGCAAAAAGACACACCAAAATAAAGCAAGTGATTGGAATAACTGCATCTGCAAAAGAGGGGATGAATTTCAGATAAAGGGGCAGCACATTGGAGCAAAGACTGGAATTAACTATGTTTATGTCTAAAACTAAACATAGAAATGACTTCTTTTAAACTGGCATGCAAAATTTTTGCAAGGTCAAGGGGACCTTACGATGAAAGAAAGTAAAAGACTATATAAAATGTAGCTTGTAGTTTAAAAGCCAACCCTGAAACAAATTCTATGTCAATTAGTGTGGAAAACAGCCCTCATATTTTTAAAATACAATGTAAATTCAAGCATGAAGCTAGAAAAATATTAAATCAACCAGCTAGTGAACTGAAAGAGGAATAAATGCCTCTTTATCTGTAAAACAATTTACCAACAGAATCATATTTTATTTCCACCTTAAGGTACTGTAAATTGTGCATGTAAACATGATTATGTACACAATTCTTTTCAGGAATCTAAGAACTTCAATAGTATTTTATTTGCTCTCTCACTTTGTTTCACAAATAGTCAAATTCATCAAGTTCAATATTTGCCCTACCATCAATCTTATAAAACAGCATCATTTCCAAAAACAGAATGGAAGAGGAACAGATAGGACCAAAAATGAAAGGACAGGATATGGTAAATTCCAGACCACAACTTGTTGTGAATGGTCCCTGCAAGTCAACTGGCTTCTATTTACTAACTACATAAGAATTGACGAGTGGATCTCTCTATCCATTTTACCACTGGAAACGACAGAAAGGAAGCACCCAAGCCACTCCTTTAAATAATTTAGATCTTTTTTGCTAAAATTCAGTATGTCAATTTCACTTAAACAGGTAACCACAGTTCAAAGGAAACTAATATGCCGGAGTAAAAACCACGAGCTTAACACCTGACTCCTCTCTCCCAGATTCTTTCTCTTTCTCCCCAACAAGGAACAGAAATATCAGTCAAAATCCAAATTGAAATCATACAATAATCAGGCAACTAACCCTGTCCTGACATTCTTGCTTTTGCACTCTACTAATTTACACTCCACAAATACATTTTTTCAGCTAATACAAAAGAAGGTTTGGCCCCAACATAACATTAGAGACTCCAATGCATTTTAAGTATGAGAACAAGATCTAAAATAGCAACGCTGAGGAGCTTACACTGGTGATGTTCCTTAGACATGGATAACTCGAGGCCAGACACAGCAGAGAAAACTACACATACAAGAATATATTAATTAGTCAGTGACTGAGGAAAAACAATGGCAAATTTAAGCAACTGACTGCTAAGAGCTTTACCAGAAATTGCTGGAGTGAGAACTCCATCTCCAATTACCATACAAGTACCAAGGAGAACCAAGATTAACAAAGCAGTGTGCAAGACCTTGTGCTTCTCAAGGTACATTTTTACTCTTGAGCTGCTCTTTTTCTCTGGAGGGTGCTCAAGTTTATACGTAGAGAGTGCTTCATCAGCAACCTGTCTGTTGGGCAGAAGGCTAACTTTTGCATGTCGGCATATCAGAGAATACAATGCAAAAGTACCTCCTGCCAGAATCAAAATCATGCATCAAACGTTAGAATTTAATGGCTAAATGGTGTAAAAGACACAATTGTTTCAAGGCTTACCCTCTCCATTGTCATCTGCTCGAAGAACGACAAATACATACTTGAATAAAGGGAGTAAAGTAAGAGTCCAGAAGACGAAGGATAGAACGCCATAAATCTCTTCATTTGTGTCTGAATGTTGGATGTCTTCAGCAAATG